ATTTTGCCCAGTATCTAATTGACACTAATATATTTATGCTGAAACGTGTACCTTAAAACATTTTTAAATAGGTATATTGAGATCTTCAGAAGTAGCAGGAGTGAAATCAAAGGATTTTATGATCCACCAAGAAGATTGCTGGGACAGCGACCGGGACCATATGATAGACCAATAGGAGGAAGAGGGGGTTATTATGGAGCTGGGCGTGGAAGTATGTATGACAGAATGCGACGAGGAGGTGATGGATATGATGGTGGTATGTGTATCTAATGAACAAAGGTTCTGTTGTCATTTTCTTAATGTTCCTGACACTTCGTCAAGAAATACAGAAATGGCAGTAATTTCAGTACCTATTAGGTTTTAAAACCTGTTCATGAAAACATGGATTCCCATAGCTAGCTGTGGGATTTGATTTGATTGATGCACATATTAGCACCTAGAAAACTTACACCGAAATTAAAATTAAGATGTTGGCATATTTTGACCTTTTTTGGCCTAAGAATGAAATTTAATGTACATGTCTGAACTTAACAAACTTTTTTAAATTTTAAATTTCCATGAGATGTTGACTGCTTTTTTCAGAGTCTAAGTTGGGAATTGCAAACTTATAATAAGTTACACAGACTGTTTACCACAAAATGTTTTTGTAGGCTCTATTATAAAATGTATCTCTCTAAAGTATGTAGTCATGTATTTCTCCTTAAATTACACAGGTTATGGAGGTTTTGATGACTATGGTGGCTATAATAATTATGGCTACGGGAATGATGGCTTTGATGACAGAATGAGAGATGGAAGAGGTAAAGTAAATATTAAAGACATTTTTATTCTGAGGTGAATTTTAGTATTTGTTTTTGCAGGCTTTTAGTGGTAATATAGGAAACTTGTATAAAAAAGTTAATTCAGACATATTTCGGTGCATTTCTATATAGAGCTTTATACCTTGAACAGTACGTATGTATACTTTCCTACTTGTGTTCATAATAGTTTATAATCTTGGCAAATTGTGTTCTGTAGGTATGGGAGGACATGGCTATGGCGGAGCTGGTGATGCAAGTTCAGGTTTTCATGGTGGTCATTTCGTACATATGAGAGGGTTGCCTTTTCGTGCAACTGAAAATGACATTGCTAATGTGAGTAATTTTTAATAACTATTAGTGGTTTTATACTTATCCTGGTATCTAAATTTTTAAGCATTCTTAATGTTCTCATGTTTATAGCTTAATACCAAAATCCCTTGAATATAAAAATAGATCAACCTTTAACTGTAGTTACTGATGGATATTTTTGTGTCCATTGTGTGTTAACCTGCATAGGATTCAAGCAAGTAAAAAGCTACATTCATGAAGTCCAGTTAAGAATGTAATGAAAGACTTACCAGCATAGAATGGTGATGACTCTATACCAGGCGTCCCCAAACTTTTTACACAGGGGGCCAGTTCACTGTCCCTCAGACTGTTGGAGGGCCGCCACATACTGTGCTCCTCTCACTGACCACCAATGAAAGAGGTGCCCCTTCCTGAAGCGCGGCGGGGGGTGCCGGATAAATGGCCTCAGGGGGCCGCATGCGGCCTGCGGGCCATAGTTTGGGGACGCCTGCTCTATACCATTTTGTGCTGGTGTCTTTGTTGTTGTTGTTGTTGTTTGAGATGCAGGAGTCTTGCTCTGTCACCCAGGCTGGAGTACAGTGGCACAATCTCGGCTCACTGCAACTTATGGCTCTGAAGTTAAAGTGATTCTCCTGATTCGGCCTCCTGAATAGCTGGGCTTACTGGCATGAGCCACCACTGTTTGGTATTTTTAGTAGAGAGGGTTTCACCATGTTGGTCAAGCTGGTCTCAAACTCCTGACCTCATGATCCACCTGCCTCAGCCTCCCGAAGTGCTGGGATTACAGGTGTGGGCCACCAAGCCCGGACTGTATTAGGTTTTGAAAGAGCGAATGTATAAGTATTAGTGATTTGGTTTGGCTTTCTAGGCTAGATAGTGATTAGAAACAGGAGTTGAAAATAACAGGAATAGATCCTGCTGATTATTGATGTGAAACTGGTTGGTTTCCAATTTGTTAGGAAGTCAGAAAACTTCAGTCCATGGGCTAAATCTGGTCACATCATTCCTCTGCCTGTTGAGTAGTTATATTAGAACCCAGTGGTCATTCAAGCCAAAAATACTATCTGGCTCTAAAAGCAACAGTTTGCTCTAGATCTTACTGGGAGTCAATTGGCCTGAGTTCCAAGTGCCTTTAATGGTAGTTTAAACTTCACTAACTTGTGATTAGAACCAAATGATACCTTTTGGGGAACAATTTCATATAGTTTTAAATAGTAGGTTTATCCAAACTGCACTGTTCCAAAGCGTGATATCCATTATTTCTGTGTGTTACGTCTGTGTTTGGTTTTTGTTTTGTTTTTGAGACAAGTCTTCCTCTCTGTCTTGCCTAGGCTGGAGCACAGTGGTGCGATCTCAGCTCACTGCAGCCTCCACCTCTCACATTCAAGCAATTCTCCTCTCAGCCTGTGAGAGTCTGTGCCACCACACCTAGCTGATTTGTATTTTTAATAGAGACAGGGTTTTGCAGTGTTGTCCAGGCTGGTCTTGAACTCCTGACCTCAAGTGAGCCACTGTGCCCAGCCTATCTGCTTATTTTAAAAGCGGTAAATTCTTTACATTATCCCTAAGTGTATACTCTTAACATTCACAAAACCTCTGTAGTTGACTCATTAGTCTGGCAGGGCAGTGGAAGGGTTTAATTGATGAGGAAAATCAAGGTATGCAGTAATTTACTTTTAATATTCTCAATAGAGAAGTAAAAAAAAAATGTTTCCTTTTTTTTAGTTCTTCTCACCATTAAATCCAATACGAGTTCATATTGATATTGGAGCTGATGGCAGAGCCACAGGAGAAGCAGATGTAGAGTTTGTGACACATGAAGATGCAGTAGCTGCCATGTCTAAAGATAAAAATAACATGCGTAAGTGGTATCTTTGGCATGCTATCTTAATTTTCTAGATGTGAATTTTTAAAATAAGAGGCTCTAGGATCTGAAGGTAACTCTTGGCAGTTGTTGGGATCTAAAACCATTTGACCTTTAATAAAGTTTAAATATTAATGGTTTCCTGTGGGCTTTGTATAGCACTGTACTAGGAATTAATAAGCATACTTTGTTAAATATTACTTAATTGATCTTTTTTTAAAAGCTTGTATTGATGAATTTGATCCATCATTCCTTTCTCTCTTCTGTTTTGTTTTGTTTTTTTAAAGAGCATCGATACATTGAACTCTTCTTGAATTCTACTCCTGGAGGTGGCTCTGGCATGGGAGGTTCTGGAATGGGAGGCTATGGAAGAGATGGAATGGGTATGTAAAGTTTTTAAAATATGTGGGGTTAGCTAGTTAGCAGTTAGTCTCAACTTTTTTCTCTCTCTTTTTTTTTAAGATAATCAGGGAGGTTATGGATCAGTTGGAAGAATGGGGATGGGGAACAATTACAGTGGAGGATATGGTACTCCTGATGGCTTGGGAGGTTATGGTAAGTACCTCTAGTTCAGTTTGTGTCAGTCCCCATATATAGTATAAACTTTAAAGTGCAGGTATTTTATTTTATGCAGAGATATCTCCTGCTGAGTGATTCTTAATATCTTTTTCTTAAGGCCGTGGTGGTGGAGGCAGTGGTGGTTACTACGGGCAAGGTGGCATGAGTGGAGGTGGATGGCGTGGGATGTACTGAAAGCATAACATACAAGTCTTGACAACAGCATCTGGTCTACTAGACTTTCTTACAGATTAAATTTCTTTTGTATTTTAAGAACTTTATAATGACTGAAGGAATGTGTTTTCAAAATATTATTTGGTAAAGCAACAGATTGTGATGGGAAAATGTTTTCTGTAGGTTTATTTGTTGCATACTTTGACTTAAAAATAAATTTTTATATTCAAACCACTGATGTTGATACTTTTTATATACTAGTTACTCCTAAAGATGTGCTGCCTTCATAAGATTTGGGTTGATGTATTTTACTATTAGTTCTACAAGAAGTAGTGTGGTGTAATTTTAGAGGATAATGGTTCACCTCTGCCTAAACTGCAAGGCTTAAGCAGACATCTGGAATAGAGCTTGACAAATAATTAGTTTAACTTTTTAATTCCTCCTGGACAACACTGTAAATATAAAGCCTAAAGATGAAGAGGCTTCAGGAGTATAAATTCAGCTAATTATTTCTATATTATTTTTCAACTGTCATTTATCAGGCATGAGGTATTGATTTCTGAATATTCATGATTGTGTTACCTGGGTATGGGAGTGTTAGAAGCTTGAATTCTAGCCCTAGAGAAGTAAAATCCCTTCAGCACTTGACCAGAATACCAAAAATATCACCAAATAAGTGCTAATTGCAAGTTATCTCAGAGTAGGGTTAAGGTTCTCAGTGACACAAGAAATCGGTGTAAGAACTTGGGTATTTACTATGGAGTACAATTTTCACAAATGTATTTTCTGTTTTCTCCCCAATAGAACATATGGTTTTTAAATAACTGTATAAATAAATGACTTTTTTAAAAAATGTAAGCAACAAGTCCATGTCATAGTCAATTAAAACAATCCTGCAGTTGGGTTTTGTATCTGATACCTGCTTGGAGTTTTAAAGAATCTTTATGTAGCAAGGAAAAGGTGCTTTTTAATTTTAATCCCTTTGATCAGTATGGCTTTTTTTCCAAATTGGCTAATTAATCAAAATGAAACCTGTCGATGTAAATTCAGTTATTGAACTTGTTACTTGTTTTTGCCGGAAATGTTATTAATGTAATAAATGTCAATGTGGGAGATAATAGTATGGCTTGTGTCCTAGAATGCTTCGTGTCAGTTACTAATTCTAAATCAAACTGGTAGAAGCTAGTACATACGGTGTCTACTGAAGATTTAGGAGAGGGATCCAGGATAGTCTATATATATTGGAGCTTCTTGACTGAAGCAACAATTCATCTTAATGCTGTATCCACTTCCTTTAATTAGCAAGTTAAATATTATGGCATACACCACCTGTCTTTTTTGAAAGTTGCATGTTTTATTTTCCCAGGATTACCGTTTTAACATATTTAAGCAATAAAAGTATACAGTATTTTCCAAATCTTTATTTAGTTCATAAAATACACATTTTATTTTTTAAACATTATAGGTTAGAAGAATTACAATCATAATTCCTTGGCACCATGATAGCATTATTGTGGTAGTACTAGTAGGTGAGGGAATGGTATGTTAAATGTTTTGAAAAGTAAAACGAATACGAGTTTACAATCACAAAATACAAATTGTTAAAAGTTTTATAACAAAATCCAAAATTAGTGTAGTTTTTAAATAAGCTAAAACGACATGGTAGCAATTTGCTATCATAAAAGCTGCCTTAAAAAAAAAAGCCCAAGTCAGTGGTGACATAAGTTAAAAAGTGAAGAGACTTTAAAGGTAAGGGTGACTAAAAAATCGGTGTGGAATGACATGAGCCTTGGAATGTAGGCAACTTAAGTCATTTTTAAGTTTGTCCTAAGCACAGTAATAGAAAAACCTATTTGAAAATTTTCATTTATGCTGCTTATTCAGTAATCATAAAAATGCCCATCCCACCTATCAATACAAAAATGGTTCAAGAATATAATTCTATCTTGAGGACATTTCTATCAGTATTTAAGAAAGACCATGAGATCTGACACCTCAGCTGATAAAATTTATGGGTTTTGAAGAAAATAGATCTTCAAGTGAAGTACTGGTTTCATACTTAGGCTATTCAGAAAGTTTTCATGGAAGTATATATTCATGAGGAAAAGATCTGCAGTATTAAGCAACTCCTTGTGGGCAGGGAGGTACCTAGGATTAATCACTAAATACAATGCTCAATGCATAAAATGTCTATATCTTATAGGCTCACAAACAAAAGTGCATGGTTGAAAATGTAAAAAATAGGATACTGAATGGTGATAGTGTGTATGTGACTATTCAGAGGTCATTTTATACAAGTTAAATTGTTGGGTATGCCATAAGCAATATAACTTGGATTAGCATTCATTGAGTCCGCTTGAAATAGTTCCAAGTGTATGTTTCATCATCTCAACACCCTGGCATAGAGGTGCTCAATAGATGGTGAAATTTTACTGTGGATGTATACTGGTAGGCCACTACAATCTGATGCTTCCTACAATTTACTCAAATGAAAATGTTCATAGAAAATTTTTTGAACTGAACTCTTAATACATTACCAGAGCAAAGTTCTGATTTTTTTTCTCACTTTTAATGGTTAGAGAGGATCTTTACAAGGAGCCTGTAATATCCCCTAGTATGTACATTTTTTTCTGGGGAGGGATTTGGGTTTTCATCTTTGAATTAGGGTCTGAGTCACCCCTTTAAAAAATAGCAATTTATGAAACAACATATGGGAAGATCTGTACTTGGGTAAAAGAAAAGACGGTTATATGTAAGTAACTTCCTTTCAAGATGAGAAAGAAAAAAGTCGAGGCTGAGACCAAGTAATGCCCCTTTTAATTTAATCCACTGTAGCTGAAAATCATCAAGCACAATAACTGATTTTAGAAAAAACCCAACAGGAAATTTTGTAGGACAAAATATTGGCCCTGTCTAATGCAAAAGAGGCAAAGGTGGGGGGTGCAGGGGAAGAGGGACAAATAAATATAGGTGAATTCTTAAAAAGATAATTAAAATCTGTTGAATATTAAAGTTTTACACATTTCCAGTCTTAGAACTGTGAAGCTTTAAAGTGCATTAAGAGAATTGCAGGCACCATCAAATACCAGATTGACAGAATTCAGAAGAACAACAATCTGAAGCCTTATTTTTAAGAAGGCCTTTAAAAGATAAGGCAAATGTGTGTTAGCTCTGCTATCTGGCCTTTTAATGAAGTTAAGAGTTACATGATTTTTAAGCATGCTCTGTTGAAAATTCTTTTGAATAACAAGGGAGAAAGAAATACATAACTTGCAATTTCTATGAGTTGAATATGTAGAAGATAAAACTGGTACAAATACTGACTGAAAGCCGCTTAAGAAGAGCTGTCTGGTTACCTTGTATACATCGTAACACTCATCGTAGGTACTTTCATACATAAGGATTTAGTTCAGGAGTCTCAGGGCAAGTTAGATGAGCATCTCTGAATGAGCAATGCATGACAGGAATCACAAACCCGTACTGGTTTTGGTGAAGAAGGCAAAGGTAGTTCGTTGTCGGAGCAGGCATTACAGAAAATTTCCCCACAGTTTCTACAGTGGTGCTATTAAATAGAAATCAGAGGGGGGAAGAAAAAAACTTTAGAAGCATTTTTGCACCCCAAGCTTTTGGACTCACTTCCTAACTCCCTTACCTTTCTCTTAGAGAGTGAGAATTCCTTTTCACAAAGTTTACAATGTGTTGCTTCTTTGTCTTTCAGCCAAACCAGTCCCTAGTGGGAAGAAAATATTAATGCTCAAATTGGTAACACTAAAAATTATGTGAAAACTTTTTACCCCAAGAACATTATTTATATGAAGAATGGAAAAAAAAGTTATTTTGTTTCAGAAATGTATACTGAAATATTTATAGATGAAATATGTATGGAATTTGCCTCAAAATATTCTGGGTTGGGGAGGAGGAATGTGGATTGAGAATAAAAACAAGATTGCAGCCAGGTGACAGTGGCTGACACTGGTAATCCCAGCTATTCAGGAGGCTGAGGTGAGAGGATCACTTGAGGCCTGGAGTTCAAGACCAGTCTAGGCAACATAGAGTGTCTCTAAAAAATGAAAATTTAAAAAATGAAAAAAGATTGCACATATTATTGAATATGGGTAATGGTTCAATTTACTCTTCTCTATTGTATGTATTAGAACATATACATGTAAAAAATGCTTTGAAGAAATAAAAATCTATTACTGATGGGAATTCTCTTCAGGAAAGGAACCTTGAAGATAACCTTAAAGTAGTCCAATGACTTTTTTTTTTTTTTTGGGGGGTACACAGTAGTTACATATTTATGGGGTACCTCAGATGTTTTGATACAGGCATGCAATGTGAAATAAGCACATCATGGAGAACGGGGTATCCTAGTCTAACAACAGTTTAAATTCTCACTGTGTGAAGTGCAATAGTTTGGCATTATGTACAACTTACACCTTAAGACCCTAAAATTGGAAGGAAATTGGGAAAATCAGATATTTGAGTTCATTCTAAGACCTCTTTAGGAGGCTGAGGCAGGAGGATTGCTTGGGGTTAGGAAGACAGCCTGGGGAACACAGACTCCATCTTTACAAAAAAATTAGCCAGGCTACATGGCATAAGCCTATAATCCCAGCTACTCCAGAGGCAGAGGAAGGAGAATCACTTAAACCAAGGAGTTTGAGGCTGCAGTGAACCATGACTGTGCCACTGCACTCCAGCCTGAGCAACACAGTGAGACCTTTTCTCAAAAAAAGAGAAAAAAAAAAATTGTTATACATGGCTGTTTCTCTCAACTTTTATAACATATTTAATAGCTGCTATGTAAGCGTTAGTAGAAAACAGACCTAAGTAGTCTTAGGCAGTACTTAACCTGATACCTATAATTTATAACAACCTGACCCATTTATTTAATTTGAAAAGAGTCTCAATCTGTCACCCAGGCTGTAGGGCAGTGGTGTGATCTTGGCTCACTGCAACCTCCATCTCCCAGGTTCAAGTGATTCTCCCCCCTCGGCCTCCCTGTGGCTGGGATTACAGGTGCATGCCACCATGCCTGGCTAATTTTTGTATTTTTAGTAACGATTGGGTTTCATCATGTTGGCCAGGCCGGTCTTGAACTCCTGACCTCAGGTAATCTGCCCACCTCAGCTTCCCAAAGTGCTGGGATTACAGGCATGAGCCACTGTACCCAGCCTACTTGACCCACTGTTAACAAACTTGCTTAACCAATCTTGGCTAGAAAGACCTTTTTTTTTTCCCCTTGTGAAGGCAACTTTGTTAGATGGTTATCAGTTTTACAATAAGAAGACCCAGATGAAGGAGGGCCTCAATTGATTTCCTAAAACAGCCCAGACCAAAGAACCCAAGTATAAGTGAAGATTCCAAATCGGACATGGAGCAACTGCAACCTATAAATTACTACTGAAGCGTGGGAATATATCACCTGAGAGAAAAATTGTCCAAGAAAAAAAGGCCCATAGATACATTTCCCTAAACAGGAGTTTTCTTAAAGACTTTTCCAAAAGCAGAATTCTTTGAAGAAAAAAAATAGACTAACCACTCATAGGTCAAGATCACAAGGTTAATTTCAGGTCTTTCTGTTTCACAGTCTTAATAACTAGCACTTACTATAGAGCAGAGATAATAGAGTGTTGGTTACCGCATATGAGGAAGCCTAAGTCCCCTTAGAGCACATGATTATAAAGGCTTTAAAAAAAAAAAAACTAGATAGTTCATACCAGACAAATACCAGAAGTCAGATAACTTGAATCATAGAATTTTTTTTTTTTTTTTTAATGCAGGATGGGGGCCAGGTGCAGTGGCTCATGCCTGTAATCCCAACACTTTGAGACTTTGAGAGGTCAACGTGAGAGGCTCTCTTTAGACCAGGAGTTCAAGACTTGCCTGGGCAACATAGCAAGACCCTATCTCTACCCAAAAAAAGAAAGAAAAGAGAAGTTAGCCAAGCATGGTGGTAGTCCCAGCTACTCGGTAGGCTGAGGTGGGAGGATTGCTTAAACAGAAGTTCAAGGTTACAGTGAGCTATGATCATGCCACTGCACTCCAGCTTGGAAAACAGAGAAACGTGTCTCGGGGGCGGGGGGAAGGGGGGAAGGCTGCAGCAGGAAGGGACCCTAAAAGATAATCCAATCCAATGTGATGAAAACCATACAAAGCAAAGTTATTTGCCAAAATGTCCCAAAGCCACCTAGTGGAAGCAGCCTACCTTTCTGTCCAACTATGCTGATAAGGCAAGGATTTGCAAGCAGCAACATTAGGTCCGGAAATAACCGTGCTGAGATGGGGACTAGGCCTTTGGAGACTTCTTTTGGTTGAACTTACCTGCTGCCCTCCCAGTGAGAAAAGCTCACTTTAAGGTAAGCCTAGTGTGTCCCTGTGAAGGGATCTCGGAGATGAATACCTGCAGCCCTCTCATTTTACAAATGAGAAAATATAAAGCTTAGAGTGCTGAACCTGCCTGCTCAAGGAAACAGCCGTTTACCAGAAGAGCTAAGACTAGAACTCTTACCATGCAAATACACAGCAATTTTTCTCTGTCCAATTCCAGAACGTTAGCTACTAGACTTACACGCCTAGATAGGATACTACAGGATTCTTCTCTGGAGAAACTCAACTGGCACAGAGCAAAGTCCAGTAAATACTAAACATTATTTGGAGAGGTTACTCAATAGTTCACTAATCACAGCAGATTTCTCTATGGTGAGGCCTACCAGTCGATAACAACCCACCCAACCAACACGCACACACACAAGGTTTCCAATAAGCCTTACGTGTGCCTTTTATTGAAACTAGGGGATAGCACATTTGAGAAAACTTCAAATAATTGATAATGAAACCAGATTACAGTGGCTCACACCTGTAATCCCACCACTTTGGGAGACTGAGGCAGGAAGATCACTTGAGCCCAGGAATTCGAGACCAGCCTGGGCAACACAGTGAGACCATTTCCATCCCTAAAAAATAAACACTGGGTACAGTGGCTCCCTTCTGTAACTGAACCTCCAGCATCCAAGCTCCTCATTTGGTGCTTCTGCCTCTGTATCTCCTGGGGTTCATTAATAACACATTAGATTCACACAGGGCTTTGGCTTCTATTGGAGACTTTGACGTACCTTCCTACTTTAGGAAAATGTTCTACTCACCTGCAATGCTTTGTTGGCTTCTTTTATGTCTTCAATTTTAAGTTTTGATCTAAAAAGATTACAAATAAGTCCAAATTTCAGTACATATATTTAAATATAGAACACTTAGTATTTCAGTAGGTACTGGTATTTCATAGGATATAAAGTTATGTATAGTATATCTTTATGATCTTCTTGGGCTAATGGAATATTTCATATTTTCCTATATTTCCTAAATGTCCTAAAGCAAAAACATTTACAACTTGCTTTTTAAGAAATATTGGCATTTTCATGTGATCATGACAATACTAATAGCTATCATTTATTGCAGGTTTACTATGTGGCAGACACTATGCTCCCTTTGCATGAATAATCTATGTAATCTACACAAAAACCTATTTTAAAGATGAAGACATGTTCAATGAAGTTTAGTCACTTGTAGGAGGTCACAGAGCTGGTAACTGAGGGAGCCAGGGTTCAAACCCTGGTCTGTGACCCCACAGCACACATACTAACCACGATATACACTATTTCTCTAGCAAATACAGAAGTGCTAAGGAAGAAAATACTGTGGGCCAGGCGCAATGGCTCATGTCTATAATTCCAGCATTTTTGGGGGCTAAGGTGGGTGAATCATCTGAGGTTAGGAGTTCGAGACGAGCCTGGTCAATATATAGTGAAGCCCTGTCTCTATTAAAAATTAAAAAATTAGCTGGAAATACTGGTGTACGCCTGTAGTCCCAGCTACTTGGGAAGGTGAGGCAGGAGAATCACTTGAACCCAGGAGACAGAGGTTGCAATGAACCGACATTGCACCACTGCATTCCAGCCTGAGTGACAGAGGGAGACCCTGTCTCTCAAAAAACACAGCAAAAAAGAAAATACTATGGAAGACATAGCTGCAAGTACTTTTCCACCTTTTTTTTTTTTTTTTACAGAGTCTTGCTCTGTTGCCCAGGCTGCAGTGCAGTGCCATGATCTCGACTCACTGCAACCGCTGCCTCACGGGTTCAAGCAATTCTCCTGCCTCAGTTTCTCAAGTACCTGGGATTACAGGTACCCACCACAATTCCAGGCTAATTTTCATATTTTTAGTAGAGATGGGGTTTCACCATCTTGGCCAGGCTGGTCTCGAACCCCTGATTTCAAGTGATCTGCCTGCCTTGGCCTCCCAAAGTGCTGGGATTACAGATGTGAACCACCGGTGGTGCCTGGGACTTTTCCACCTTTTGAAAATATGTATGTTGGGCTGGGCACAGTGGCTCATGCCTATAATCCCAGCACTTTGGGAGACTGAAGCTAGTGGATCGCCTGAGGTCAGGAGTGCAAGACCAGCCTGGCCAACATGGTGAAACCCCATCTCTACCAAAAATATCAAAAAAATTAGTCTGGGCGCCTGTAATCCCAGCTCCTCGGGAGGCCGAGGCAGGGATAATCACTTGAACCTGCGAAGCAGAGGCCCTGAGCTATCGTGCCACTGAACTCCAGCCTGGGCAACACAGCAGGACTCAGAAAGAAAGAAAAGAAAGAAAAAAGCGAAAGAAAAGAGGGAGGGACGGAGAAAATACATGTTGTAATCAATTTGCTACCAAGTGGTGTGTGTGTGTTTTTGTGTGTATGTGTGTATACACATATATACACATGTGTGTGTATATACACATATATACATATATACACATATATACATATATACACGTGTGTGTATATATACATACACACACACACACACACACACACACACACACACAAATTTTTTTTTAAACCCAGGCTGGAGTAAAGTGGTGTGATCTCAACTCACTGCAACTTTCACCCCCCAGGTTCAAGCAATTCGCCTGCCTCAGCCTCACGAGTAGCTGAGATTATAGGCGTCCGCCACCACGCCCAGCTACTTTTTGTATTTTTAGTAGAGACAAGTTTCACCATGTTGGCCAGGATGGTCTTGAACTCCTGACCTCAGATCTACCTGCCTCAGCCTCCCAAAGTGCTAGGATTACAGGCGTGGGCCACTGTGCCTCACTCCAAGTGGTATAATTTAAATTTTTTTTTGAGGCGGAGTCTCACTCTGTCACCCAGGCTGGAGTGCAATGGTTCGATCTTGGCTCACTGCAACCTCCACCTCCTGGATTTAAGTGATTCTCCTGCTTCAGCCTCACAAGTAGCTGGGATTACAGGTACCCACCACCACACCTGGCTAATTTTTGTAATTTTAGTGGAGACAGGGTTTCACCACTAAAATTAGTCAGTCTGGTCTCTAACTCCTGACCTCAGGTGATACGCCCACCTCGGCCTTCCAAAGTGCCGAGATTACAGGTGTGAGCTGCCGCACCTGCCTGGTCTTTTATTTTTCTTAATTTTAAAAAAGAAAATATATGTGTTAATGAAAATGCAAATTATAAAAAACAGTATTTAATTACTTGTGATCCCATTACCCAGAGGCAATTTTCTATATTTATTTTAAATGGAATAATTACCAACATGGTTTTCCATAACCAGCTATTTTCACAATACATCCTGAATAGCTTGCAGCTACTGACTTGTTACTATTTGCCACATCATTATAGTAAATGGTTACTTGGCATATGCCATGAAAAGGAATATAAAATAGTTTATATAATTATTATCTACTGATAAACTTTCAACGTGTCTCAAATTTTTCACCACAAAAGTTGTTTATTAAAATTACAATGACTAGGCTCCTGCCTGTAATCCTAGCACTTTGGGAGGCTGAGGTGGGAGGATCACTTGAGGTCAGGAGTTCAAGACTAGCCTGGTCAACATGGTGAAACCTCATCTCTACCAAAAATACAAAAATTAGCCAGGCATGGTGATATGAGCCTGTAGTCCCAGCTACTCAGGTGGCTGATGCAGCAGAATTGCTTGAACCTGGAAGGCAGAGGTTGCAGTGAGCCAAGATCACACCACTGCACTCCAGCCTGAGCCACAAAGCTAGACTGTCTCCAAAAAAACCCAAAAAAACAAAATTTGAACGACTAAAAGATATTAATTGAAAATTAATGAAATTTCTGAATCAAATGATACATGAGATACTAAAGCCTCTGCTACTAAAGCATAACATTAAAAGTCTGCTTTGCCCTATAAAATGCTCTTCATTCCAAGGTGTAAAAACAAAGTGCAAGTCTTTCATCTAGGTCATATTGACTCTTATGGTGGAAATAATCGATGTAAAACTACATACTGTAAAAATACTAACAGAATAATCTATTTTCTTGGCTAAATTCATATCTACAAAATGTGCCTCAGGAAAACGGACTCTGTTAGGAATAGTGGTCACGACAGTGATGATTTAATTGTGCTATACAGAAAAATTGAATATAGAATTAAAGTGGCTAAGTGGTATTTACCACAGAAAATATTTTCTTGGCCAGGCACAGTGGCTCACACCTGTAATTCCAGCACTTTGGAAGGCCGAGGCAGGTGGATCACCTGAGGTCAGGAGTTAGAGACTAGCCTGGGCAACATGGAAAACACTGTCTCTACTAAAAATTAGCCAGCTGTGGTGGCGGGCACCTGTAATCCCAGCTACTCAGGAGGCTGAGGCAGAAGAATCACTTAAACCCAGGAGGCAGAGGTTGCAGTGAGCCGAGACAGCACCACTGCACTCCAGCCTGGGCAAGAAGAGCAAAACTAACTCCCTCTCAAAGAAAAAACAAAAGTATTAATTGGGGAATAGGTGAAAAGTAACACATATTCCTTGCTTTACTATTCCACTGTTTTAATATTAAACCATTATGATCTTAGTAAATGCACACACTTATTTTGTATTATGAGGATTGCTCACTGTTGACTCTCTAGTACTTAGTATAGTGCCTGGCACACAGTATAAGCTCAGTGTCTGTCAAATAAATAAATGGAAAATAAGGTAATAAACACTTAGCACAGGGTCTGGCTCAAAGTGCTCAATAAATGGATGCTAGATTGGAATTGAAATCTTGCTTATCAGAACCACAATGCAGATTGTTCTCTAAAAAGCTGTAAAGACAAAAACAGCTTTAGCTTCTTGAGATCTAATATTTCTTTTTGTGGTTCTAGTGAATTACTCTGTCTTATGCCCTTGGAAATTGGTTGCATTATCTCTTAATGGAATCCCACCTTTAGCAACTAAGTGTCCATTCTAGTATGATTTCTACTTAATTGAATTTATACAAATGACATATATCTCCATATAACTAATTCTAAGTAAATGACAAGATATTTACATATAGAATTGTTTGAGGTTAACTAAATTTTAGGGATTAGTACTTGGGAGAAGGAAGTAATTGTTTTTTTATTTTATACCCTTTTGTGCTATTTGAATGTTCTAATCATAAAAAAAATCAGAGAGATTTATACAGGTGGTGAGATTATGAGACACTGTAGCTTTCTTATTTTTACTTTTCTGTATTTAAAAAAGTGGGCTGGGCACTTTTACAGTGAGCTACACCTGTAATCTCAGCACATTAGGAGGCTGACTCGGGATGATGTCTTGAGCCCAGGAGTTCAAGACCAGCCCAGGCAACATAACAAGATCTTGTCTCTACAAAAAAATTTTAAAAATTAGCTGGGCATGGTGGTGTGCATCTGCGGTCCCAGCTACTCCAGAGGCTTGAAGTGAGAGAACAGTTTGAGCCTGAGAGATCAAGAATGCAGTGAGCTGTGATTGTGTCACTGCACTACAGCCTGGGCAACTTGAAAGCCAGATCTTGTCTTTTTTTTTTTCCCCCCCAGACGGAGTCTTGCTCCGTCACCCAGGCTAGAGTGCAGAGGCATGATCTTGGCTCACCAATAACCTCTGCCTCCTGGGTTCAAGCAATTCTCCTGTCTCAGGGGGCAGAGGAAGGCAGTCCCGAATAGCTGGGACTACAGGAGCATACCACCACTCGGCTAATTTGTTTTTGTCTTTTTAGTAGAGATGGGGTTTCACTGCATTAGCCAGGACGGTCTCGATCTCCTGACCTCATGATCTGCTTGCATCAGCCTCCCAAAGTGCTGGGATTACAGGTGTGAGCCACTTTGCCCAGTCAAGACCTTGTCTTAAATAAAAATAAATAAATAAATTTAAAGTGTTTTTTTTTTAAATGTGGCAGTGGTACATTCAATACTAAATTAAACCTTCTTGAGCTTATTCCAAGTATCTGGTAATACGTTCAATTAGGCCCAAAGCTGCTACCCCAAAACACAGACCATGGGAAACAAAAGGAAAATGTCACTGGGCACTGTGACTCACACCTGTGATCCCAGCATTTTGGGAGGCAGAGGTAGGAGGGCTGGTTGAGGTCAGGAATTTAAGACCAGCCTGGGCAACATGCAAGACCCCATCTCTATAAAAAATAAAAAGCCAGTGGTGGCTCACACCTATAATCCCAGTACTTTGGGAGGCTGAGGTGGATGGATCACAAGGGCAAGAGTTCAAGACCGGCCTGGTCAAGATGGTGAAACCCCATCTCTAATAAAAACACAAAAAAATTAGCCGGACGTGGTGGCAGCCGCCTGTAATCCCAGCTACTTGGGAGGCCGAGGCAGAATTGCTTGAAACTGGGAGGTGGAGGTTGCAGTGAGACAAGATCATGCCACTGAACTCCAGCCTGGGCCACAGAGCAGGACTACATCTCAGAAAAAAAAAATAAAATTAAAATTAAAAATTAAAATTAGTAGGGCATGATGGTGGATGCCTGTAGTCCCAGCTACTTGGACTGAGGTGAAAGGGCTGCTTGAGCCCTGAAGGGCAAGGCAGCAGTGAGCTATGACTGTACCACTACACTCCAGCCTAGGCGAGACCGTCTTTAAAACCAAAAATGTAAGAACAGTAGAACATCATTTTTCCTTCTTGTCTTTGCAGGATCCCAATGACATTCTACTGCAACAAGACCAAACTGTATGAAGCTAAGCTCTGTCTCCAGAACACATGAAACCACCTCAACTTCTCCTGATGCTGGCTTCTTCTCAAAACAATCTAAAAGACACCTCCCTGGATATTTTGAAAATTCGGCTTCTGTTTTTCTGAGAAAAGCATATTAATAACTTCTGAATTCTCTGACATTGAAGAAATTGAACAGAATGCTAGCTTTCATCTACTGGGAAACATTAAGAACTAAGATCTAAAATGAGTAAAACTTTTAGTAAACTCTCTTCATCTAGTTTCTTTTTTTAATCTTTATAGTTTCTGTTTTAATAGTTTATATATTTCTTTCCTATATTTAAACTTTTCTGCCTGTTAGGTTTGGTACATTTATACCTTTTATAAAAGTCAATAATGACTACTTCATTGAAGGAAAAAAGAGAAATTACTCGCTAAGTTTGTTGCCGAGTTCTTGAAGAGCCTGCTCTTGTTCATGATATATTTTTTTCAACTGCCGATTTTCATCCTGGAGATTAAGGAACTCCTTCAGAATAAAAGACAGAAAATGCAATTTAAAAGAAAGAAAAACATGAAACTCTAGATTGTACATATACCATTAATTAGAAATAAACATCCTTTAGCTTTTTAAAAGAAACAAATTGTGTCCAAAGCTCTTTCCTAGCTGCTGCATGTTATCAACTATTTTCCATTTACTTAATCTCTTTTTTTCTTTTTTTTGAGATGGAGTTTTGCTCTTGTTGCCCAGGCTGGAGTGCAATGGTGCAATCTCAGCTCACCACCAACCTCTACTTCCCGGATTCAAGCAATTCTCCTCCCAAGTAGCTGGGATTACATGTATGTGTCACTACACCTGGCTAAGTTTTGTATTTTTAGTAGAGACGGGGGGTTTCTCCATGTTGGTCAGGTTGGTCTCAAACTCACAACCTCAGGTAATCCTCCTGCCTCCACCTCCCAATGTGCTGGGATTACAGGCATGAGCCACCTCGCCCAGCCTACTTAAACTCTTTACTTATATTTTTTTAAGATGACTAGTTTATCTGTTTCTTTGGTATAATATAAATTACGATTTATCTTTTTAAATAAGTTAACATTTGTCAAGATCAATTTTTTAAAGTTTTACCAGTATTTACTTTTTTAAGACTAATAATTTGTTGAGTCTCATTTCTAAGATGAGATAAGGCATCTTTCTCCTTTTGAAGATCTTCCTGCAAAGTCTGCCTCCATTCTTTCTCAATCTTCAAGTCAGTTTCCAGTTGCACCCTTGAATGACAAATAACACACAAAAGTTCAGTGCTATTTTCACACGACAGTTGTTACATATTCTTTACTAAAAGCATCCTTTTGGTTTATTACTTTGGCCTTTGTAATGCATTTTTTCAGACATTTTCTTTCATAAATATTTTTCTGTAAACAAGTTCAGCAGCACAGGGTTTTCCAATCACAAAGTATTGACTCCTTTGCCAGCCACTAAAAAATTCTTGCTAAACCATTTATATAAATGCCTTGGAAAGGCATACACCAGGCGTCCCCAAACTTTTTACACAGGGGGCCAGTTCACTGTCCCTCAGACCGTTGGAGGGCCGCCACATACTGTGCTCCTCTCACTGACCACCAATGAAAGAGGTGCCCCTTCCTGAAGCGCGGGGGGGGGGGGGGGCTGGATAAATGGCCTCAGGGGGCCGCATGCGGCCCGCAGGCCATAGTTTGGGGATGCCTGGCATACACCATAATATTAAAACCGGTTACACCTTGGAAATGGAACTAAGAGAAGGAATGTGAGGTTCTAATTGTCTTACACTTCTATGCTATGTGAAAAATTTTACAACAAACAAAAAGAGTTATTCCAATATAAGAATTACAGCATTTGCTAAATCAGTTTAACTTCGGTAACAGAAAAATAAGCCCAGTTGCACAGTGCCAATTTGCAGATTACTGTTAGAAGCTGACCAGTTACAGGAAAGATTTAAGACCAAGCAGGCACTGGGGTAAGTCCACACTGCCTGGAAATGCCAGTTCTGAAAGCACTCCTGCTTTTTTTTTTTTTTTTTTTTTTTGGAGACAGGGTCTTGCTGTTTCCAGGATGGACTCAAACTCCTGGGCTCAAGTGTTCCCACCTCAGCCCCTCAGCATCTGGGACTACAGGCCTGCCACCAAAACTCCTATATTATTCTAACAGGTGCTAGCTGCCAAAGCAAACATAGTTGAATTTCCACATTTCAAGATGACTAAAACAAAACCCACAAATCACTTCCATGATTATTGCTCTTAAGCAGGTATAACAAGTGAGGCATTTATCTACTAATACTACAGATACTAATTCTTTATATTTTAATGGTAACACTATAATGTTGAGTACATTGTTTGAATATTTTTGTGTTCATATTTATCTTTTATTTCCTCATAGTTAGGATTTCCACATAACAGCCACATATTTGCCAGTGGAATAAATTTTAGATTTTGTAAATCAGGTCGAGGAGAAGTGTACCTGAAAATGGAATTTACAAATTATTGATAAATACTATTTTACTACAAAGTCAAAATTTAAACAGCATCTCTTCAAATAATGTTATTTCATTACAACGTTCACAGAAAAAAAAACTGATTCCCACTGAAGTCACTTTCTGTGTGAAGTCTGCACATTCTCTCCATGTCTGTGTGAGTCTTCTCCTCCAGGTACTCCCGTTTCCTCCCGATCCCAAAGACGTGTATGTTAGATAAACTGGTGTCATCTATTGTCCCAGCCTGAGTGTGGGTGGGTGTGGGTGCATTTTGTGATAGAATGGTGTCCTGTGGAGGACTGGTTCCCATCTAGTGCCTGAGCTGCCAGGATAGGCTCCTGTAATAACTGAGCAAAGAATTCGGTTGTTTACATTAATCTTTCTTAAATGTAGGTATGACTCACAATTATTTCAATACTTAATATTATAAGTGTTTTGGTCTTTAGTTGAAAGTTTAGTGATGTTTTTGTGACCAAAATTATGCAGTAGAAACTTAACTCTTCTTCAAGTAGCCTATGATAAAACTGGCTTCACTTAGCATCACTTCACTTAGTTTCCAAGAACCTGTCGATGACACTAAGTGAGCACTTACTGTGTATGTGACATAATTGACATAATGTGAGAACTCACTGGGTATGTTACAAACACTGAAGTAACCAAAACACACAGTACCTATTGAATGGCCTCATAACCCAGAATCAGAAACCAAAAAAAGAATAAAAAAGCAAAGGAAGGCCGGGCGCGGTGGCTCAATGCCTGTAATCCCAGCACTTTGGGAGGCCGAGGCGGGTGGATCACGAGGTCGAGAGATCGAGACCATCCTGGTCAACATGGTGAAACCCCGTCTCTACTAAAAATACAAAACATTAGCTGGGCATGGGGGCACATGCCTGTAATCCCAGCTACTCAGGAGGCTGAGGCAGGAGAATTGCCTGAACCCAGGAGGCGGAGGTTGCAGTGAGCCGAGATCAAGCCATTGCACTCCAGCCTGGGTAACAAGAGCGAAACTCCGTCTCAAGAAAAAAAAAAAAAAAAAAGCAAAGGAAAATTTTGTTTTTAAGTTATATAAATATATTGTCAGAACACATGTTAAATACTAAAGGCAGAAACTATAAAAGGAAAAAGGTAAGATGTACCAGCCGTGGTGGCTCACACCGGTAATTCTAGAACTTTGGGAGGCCAAAGAGGGCAGATCTCTTGAGGCCAGGAGTTCAAGACCAGCCTGCCCAACATTGTGAAATGCCATTCCTACTAAAACTACAAAAGTTAGCTGGGTGTGGTGGTACCCAGATGTAATTCCAGCTACTACTGGGAGGCTGAGGCAGGAGAGTTGCCTGGACCCAGGAGGCAGAATAAGCCAAGATCCTATCACTGCACTCCAGCCTGGGTAACAGAACAAGACTCCATCAAAAAAGAAAGAAAGAAAGAAAGAGGGGGGGGGGAGGGAGGGAGGGAGAGGGGGGGAGGAGGGAGGGAGGGAGAGAGAAAGGAAAGAGGGAAGGGAAAGGGAAAGGGGAAGGGAAGGAGAGAGGGAGGGAGAAAGGGAGGCAGGGAGGGAGGGAAAAAGACATAAGTACATAAAAAATTAATATGTCTAAATAACCACTATAATCAACATTTTTAAATAGACAATTAACCTGGAAAATATTTTCAGGCAGGCGTCGTGACTCATGCCAAGGCCAAGGTGAGTGGGTCACTTGAGGTCAGTAGTTCGAGACCAGCCTGGCCTACATGGTGAAACCATGTCTCTACTAAAAATACAAAAATTAGCTGGGCATGGTGGCACACACCTTTAATCCCAGCTATTCAGGAGGCTGAGGCATGAGAATCACTTGAACCTTGGAGGCAGAGGTTTCAGTGAGCTGAGATCGCCCCACTATGATTGTATTCCACTGACAGGCAAAGTATCCCAGTCATGCTCTTCATGTATTTCATTTGGCAAGGCACAGAGACACAACAAACCCAGGGCACCATTAATAAATCTGATGACTTGCCAGGCACAGTGGCTCACCGCCTGTAATCTTAACACTTTGGGAGGCTGAGGTAGGCAGATCACCTGAGGTCGGCAGTTCGAGACCAGCCTGACCAACATGGAGAAACCCCCGTCTCTGCTAAAAATACAAAATTAGCTGAGCATGGTGGTGCATGCCTGTAATCCCAACTACTCGGGAGGCTGAGGCAGGAGAATCACTTGAACCCAGGAGGCACAGGTTGTGGTGAGCTGCGATCGTACCATTACACTCTAGCCTAGGCAACAAGAGCGAAACTCTGTCTCAGAATAAATAAAATAAAATAAATTTAAAGACTTAAATGTTCCTTGTAACCTCTGTTGCCAAGGAAGTCCTGAAAGTGCTGGCTGTTCTTTTATGAATGTGCTTAAAATTAAGAGGATTTATTTTTTTCCTGAATGTTTTGGGCTTGTTTTATTCTGTTTTTAGAGACAGGAACTCACTCTGTCTCCCAGCAGGCTGAAATTTAGTGGCACGATCACAGCTCACAGCAACCGTGAACTCATGGCTCAAGCAATTCTCCTGCCTCAGCCTCCTGAGTAGGTGGGATTACAGGCATGTGCCACACACCTGGCGAATTTCTTTTGTATTTTTAGTAGAGACTGGGTTTTACCATGTTGGTTAGGCTGTTCTCAAACTCCTGACCTCATGATCTGCCAGCCTCAGCCTTCCAAACTGCTGGGATTACAAGTGTGAGCCACTGTGTTCAGCCTGTGGGTTTCAACCACAGTAATATTCCCTGGCCTGAAGCCAGGAAATTCTACATATTAATTCCTGAAATTACTCAAATTATTATATTTGTGGTAGATTTAAATGGAGTACAGAATTCTGGTTCTGGACAAGATGGAGTAAGCACATTATTCCTTAACCCTCCAACTAAGTACAGTTAAAAACCTTGGACATTATATGTAAAACATACATAAGAAGACTCAAAGCCCGGGTGCAGTGGCTCACTCCTGTAATCCCAGCACTTCGGGAGGCTGAGGCAGGCAGATCACCTGAGGTCAGGAGTTGGAGACCTAGCCTGACCAACATGGAGAAACCCCGTCTCGACTAAAAATATAAAATAAGCTGGGTGTAGTGGCACATGCCTGTAATCCCAGCTGCTCAGGAGGCTGAGGCAAAAGAATCGCTCAAACCCAGGAGGCAAAGGTTGCAGTAATCCAGGATTGTGCCACTGCACTCCAGCCTGGGCAACAAGATAGAAACTCTGCCTCAAAAAAAAAAAACAAGACTTCCAGAAACTAAAGAGAAGTTTGATCAGCTGCTAGGAGCTCCAGGAATCAAAGAACATGGTAATGAGTTACCTCAGGTTTCTTTTTGTCTCCTATATAGCTTAGATTAGGTGTTGATGAAACCCTCAACCCATTAAAAACTAATGGGCATAGTCAAAGAAAAGCCCCAAGAAGAGCTGTTCCCATGCCAAAGGGCCAGGAAATAAACAGCCTAGCAAGATAGAAAACTTTGGATAATAAATGCCCTATTCCAGCTAAACATCCAAGACAAAAACCTATGTTCCCTCAATAAACCTCAGTCAGCAAAGGCTGAGTGGGGATCCTGGATTTCTACCCTTGCCTGGCAATGATGACGTACCCTCTTGCATCCTGCTGCGGTAATATCAGAAAATGCCAGGTGTGGAGCCTGAAACTTCCTAACTCCCTGAAGTAATAAGGCATCTGTTATGGTTAGAATTGTTCTCTTCAAAATTCATGTTGAAACTTAATTCCCAATGTAACAATATTAAGAGGTAAGG